GAGAGAAGGGAGAAGGGAAAGGAACAATTAGAAAAATTATGTCACATAAAGGAGGTGTGAAAGGAAGCTTTTATAATGGAGGGGAAGATGGAGAAGGTGAGGGGAAGCACTTGAACCATACTCTCATCATAATTGGCTCAAAGAGGGAATAACATACACACTCAGTTGGGTATAGAAATTATCATACCCTATCATACCCTATCATACAAGGAAGTAGGAAAGGAGGGGGTGATGATAGAGGGAGGGGTGAATTAAAGGAGGTAGTAGTCAGAAGCAAAATAGACTTTTGAGGAGGGACAGGGTGAAAAAGAGAAAGAGAAAGATAAACAGGGGGAGAAATGGATGAAGGGAAATACTTAATTATCATAATTGAGAATGGGAATGGAATGAACTCTCTCATAAAATGGAAATGGAAGGCATAAAGGATTTAAAAACCAGAATCCAACAATATGTTGTTTACAAGAAACACACTTGAAACAGAGAGACACACACAGGGTAAACATAAGGGGCTGTAGCAGAATCAATTATGCTTCGGCTGAGGTTAAAAAAAAAAAAGCAGGGGTGGCAATCATGATCTCAGACAAAGCAAAAACAAAATTAGATCTAATTAAAAGAGATAAGCAAGAAAACTATATTTTGCTAAAAGTTACCATAGACAATGAAGTAATACTAATAATAAACATCTAGGCACCAAATCACATAGACTCCAAATTCTTAAAGGAAAAGTTAAAGGAAGATATGGACAGTAAAACTATACTACTGGGGGACCTCAAATTTCTCCTCTCAGAACTAGATAAATCTAATTATAAAATAAACAAGAAAGAAATTAAAGAGATAAATAGAGTTTTAGAATAAGCCAGGGGCAGCTAGGTGGCACAGTAGATAGAGCACTGGCCCTGAAGTCAGGAGGACCTGACTTCAAATCCCGCCTCAGACCAAACACTTGACACTTACTAGCTGTGTGACCCTGGGCAAGTCACTTAGCCCCAACTGCCTAAACAAACAAACAAAAAAAAGTCAGCTATCATAGACCTCTAGAGAAAAGTGAATTGGAATAGAAAGGAGTATACCTTTTTCTCAGGTATACACAGCAATTTTCACAAAAATTGACCATTAGAGCATAAAAACCTCACAAACAAATGTAGAAAATCAGAAATATTAAATGCATCCTTTTCAGACCATGATGCAACTAAAATTATATTCAATAAGGGACTGTGAAAACATAAAATAAAAATGAATTGGAAACTAAATAATCGAATCCTAAAGAATGAGTGGGTCAAAGAACAAATCATAGAAACAATAAGTAATTTCAACAAAGAGAATAACAATGAGGCAACATACCAAAATTTATGGGATACAGCCAAAGCAGTACCTAGGGAAAAAATTTTTTTATCTCTAAACACTTACATCAATAAAACAGAGAAAGAGCAGATCAATGAGTTGAGCAGGAAACTAAAAAAGGCAAGAAAAGAACAAATGAAAAAACCCTAATTAAGCACCAAATTGGAAATCCTGAAGTTGAAAGTAAGAAAACTACTGAAGTAATAAATAAAACTAGGAGCTGGTTTTATGAAAAAAAAAAAACAATAAAGTAGATAAATAATTGATGAATTTTATTTTAAAAAAAGAAAACCAAACTACCAGTTATCAAAAATGAAAATGGTGAATACACCACTGATGAAGATGAAATTTTGCAATTATTAGGAGCTATTTGGCCCAATCATATGTCAATAAATCTGGCAATCTAAGTGAAATGGATGAATAGTTACAAAAATAGCAATTGCCCAGATTAACAGAAGAGGAAATAAAATACTTAAAAAACCCTATCTTAGAAAAGAAATTGATCAAGCCATCATTGAGCTCCCTAAGAAAAAATCCCCAGGACCAGATGGAATATTAACTCCAGATATGAGAATTCAGCTATCCTTCATTAAGACATATATTAAAGAGATTTGCAGAACTATGTAAAACAATGCCATTCTGATCATTAATTTTTTTTTGTTTTGGAAAATAGTTAATTTCATTAAAATATTATTTATGTTAACATGTAATGATTTGTTATCTTTAAATGAATGAATCAATAAATATTTTTAAATCAATAGATACAATCGGCATAAATCAGTGTTACTCAGAGAATGGGGTGGAATTTTGACACAGGCTATCTTTCCCTTGGTCAAGATTTTCTAGGTATACAAGTTACCAGTAATCTTTTTGGAGGCAGATTCACGTCAGAGTACATGGGGACTATGCTAGTTTCAACATCCCTCTCCGTGCTGGAAAGGGTTTGGATACAGATCAAATAATTTTTTTTTCCTTAAAAACCCGTTTCTGGCAGACTGACACATGTATTTCATAAGTGCCTATAGTACTTTGATGCTTTATGCAGATCCACTCATTGGTTCTTTCACTTCCACAGAATGATAGTTTGCTTGTTTGTTTTTGTTTTTTTGGTGAGGCAATTGGGGTTAAGTGACTTGCCCAGAGTCACACAGTGAGTGTTACGTATCTGAGGCCGGATTTGAAATCAGGTGCTTCTGACTCCAAGGCCTGTGCTCTATACACTGCGCCACCTAGCTGCCCTGAATGATGGATTTCGAGAAGTAGTTGAGATCTTCCAGGCCACTAAGTCCCAAGAAACTGAGCAAGTCACACAACTTACAGGTGTCTGAAATTTGAGCCCAGGTCTTTTTAACTCCAGGTCCTGTCCACTCAGGGGTGAGGAACCTGTGGCCTTGAGACCACACGTGGCCCTCTAAGTCCTCCAGTGTGGCCCTTTGACTAAATCCAAACTTCACAGAACGAATCGCCCTAATAAAAGGATTTGTTCTGTAAAACTTGGACTCATCAAAAGGCTGACCCCAAGGACCTAGAAGGCCACATGTGGCCTGGAGGCCGAAGGTTCCCCACCCCTGCCTGCTGCCTTTCTTTTCTTCCTTTTAATCCTTCCTTTAGATCAACCTTCCTACACTGAAGTCTGGTTTGCTTGTGACTGACTATTAGTGACAATAGCTCTTTGGTAAGACCACCCGGTATGTGGTAGACAGGTTGTGATCAGCATTGGTGGAGGGGGTCCTCTCATCAAGGAAATTACTTATCCTTAAAGTATTGGAATAAACATTCCTTCTGATAAGCTCATCATCATTTTCCATCATTCCTTTAGTCTCTCTTCAACCCTCCCATTGCTCCCCTTCCTCCAACCCTCCCAGCCCAGGACCTCGCCTCCCATTTCATTGAAAAGATTGAGGCCATTCACAGAGAGCCCCCTCTTCTTCCCTCCTCATCTCATATCAGATGCCTTGCGCCACTATTTCCTCCTTCACCACTGTCTCACATGATGTGGCCCTTCTATTTGCCAAGTCAATCCCCTTAACACACAAGTGATCTCATTCCATCCTGTCTTCTCCTGCAATCACTCCTCTGTCATTTCTGCTCCCACTAATCTTCATTTTCTGTCCACCTACTAGTTTTTTTTTTTCCTCTACTGCCTATAAACACATTAGTAAGAACAAACACAGCCCTTCATCAAAACCCCTTCCTCTCCGGTCCTCCCTCCTGAGTCTCTTTTCTACAATGCCTAAGAAAGAACTTGTCTACAATTGTCTACAACATCTCTTCACTCTGGAAGCTCACGCCACTCTCCGACTTCACACTGAAAGTAGAACCCCCTGACTCCTTGACATCTCCCTCTCCCTAGGCACCACCCAGAACCTCCATCTTAAGGAGGTTGCCCAGGCCAGTCACGTATTCATTCTATTCCAAGAGACTATTCCAAGTGGCACTCCTAAATCTCCCAGACATTTTTTGCACCCAATACCTCATATCTTCCCTCTCCTTTTATAAGTCTTCCACCTTTAGATTGTGAGCTCTTTGAGGAGCAGGAATTCTTTTTGTATTCCCATTGCTTGCCACAATGCCTGACATAGTGGGCACTTGGTAAACAGTTTACTGACTGACAATCAGTACCTTCACTTTCGTTTCTCTCACTCTCCAAACTCTAAAATCTGGCTTATTCAACTGAAACTGCTTCCTCCAGATTTACCAATGATCCCCTAAAAGCAAATCTAATGTCGTTTTCTCAACCTTCATCCTTCTTGACTTCTTTTCTCTGTCCACATTGTTTCGCTTGGTGATGTGATCAGCTTCCATGGATTCCACCATCTTTTACTAAACTGAAGATTCCTATATCTACTTGTCCAGCCCTAATCTCTCTCCTAACCACCTGCCTCACATCTCCAATTGCCCTCCATAATCTGGGTCCCCTCCGACTTTTCCAGTCTTCTTCCACCTCAGTCCCCTCCACTTACTCTTTCACCTTTCCAGTTTTCTTACCACTTAGTAACCTCCACCCCTCCCCCCATTTACTCTTCAATCCACTACCTCTTGCATCTCGGGCCATCTCCAATAGTCCTGATCTATAGCTTGCCATTGGACCCAGATGTCTCCGGGGGAGACTGGTGACTTCCCTCACTTAAATACAATTCACTTGCAAGTCAAGAGGTCACTTTCCTGATGTCCTCAGTCCTCTTCGAGAAAAAGGACAGACAATAAACACACACAATACTCCATCTATCAACTCAAGGCATTTTCACTAGTTGTCCTCTGTTCATGGAGTCTCTCCCTCCCCAACTCCATCTCCGGACTTCTCTGCATTCGAGCTCCAGCTAAAATTCCACTTCATGCTAACGTCTTTCCTCTGACACTATCCCCATTTATCCTCTATGTATCTTGTATATCTTGCATGTTACCTCCCTAGCGAGACAGAACTTTTTGAGAGCCGGGACTGTTTTTGGGTTGTTGCTTTTTTTTTTTCTGCCTTGCGAGACAGAACTTTTTGAGAGCCGGGACTGTTTTTTGTTTTTTGGGGTTTTTTTTTTTTTTTGCCTTAGCATTTAGAAAGTGCCTGGCACAGTAGAAGTCACTTAAATCCTGGTTCTACTTCGTGAAAAATTAAGACGTTGGGTTTCTCCCCTTTCTTCCTCCCTTGGACTGTAGCAACTCACCTACGGAAGCGGCTTCCGTGTTCAAATGCTGGTGGGCAGCCTCTCTATCTCTCACGCCTCCGCTCTTTCAAAGTTAAGTCAAGTCACCAGCCTAGGCAAGATCCCGACTGGGGCATGGCTGAGCTCTGGGCACACTGCTTGCTTCAGAAGCTGTCCCGCGCGGGAGCTCCACCGCGACCAAAGAAAGAGATTCTCAGAAGAAAAAAAAACAAAACACGAAGAGGAGGTAAGCTAATTCTTTACAATAGGAATGAAGAGTCATTTCTCCTCCCCATCTGCAAAAAAAAAAAAAAAAAATTTAAAGGACCAGGGCACAATTTTCTGGTCCTTAAGTGAGGCTATGGTAAAGTTCAAAACTAGGAAATGTCAACTTGGAAATCACCTAGGAGAGGTTCAGCACTGGTTCAGAACAGATTTACTCCAGTGGGCAGTGGTTGATTAGGAAATGTCTTTAATATGGGAAGACAGGCTACTCCACCCTCTTCCTTTTCAGAGGTGGGGCGGTCCACGGGTGCGGAGCATTGCATATATTCTCACTTCTTCGACTGATTTTACGTTTTTGTTTTTTTTTTAATTTTTCCTCTCCCTCCCCCCCCTTTAAATATATTTGTTATATGGATAGCCGTCTGGGAAGGGTAGGGAGAGGGATACCAGGAAAAATTTAGTGATGTAAAAAAAAAAGTTGGCAATAAAAAGAAAGAAAAAAGAGAGAGAAAGAAGAATTAAAGAAAGAAGAGGGGAATAAGAGGAGGGAGCGAGGCGGGGGTGGGGGGTGGGGGAGGGGGTGGAGAGATAGATCTCAGATGAGTCGCACCACCAGAACAAACAATGTAATAGGGCAGTTGCAAAATGTGCCACTCCAAAAATAAACTTTTCTCCATCCCCATCCCCATTCACTAAAGTCCTGAAATAGCTTTTTTTTTTTTAACTATCTGCACTGTACGGTCTCAGATCCATTGTGCCCCACCCTAGCCCAATAGAATGTAAACTCCCAGAAAGCAAGGGCCGTTTTATCTTTGCACCCCCGGAGCCCAGCATTTCGCCTATATGCTTGATAAATCTAGGATGAATTGAAAAGAAAATGATCAGAGACAAATTAAATCCATAGTCCCTCGCCCAAGAACCTGGCTTAGTAAGGCAAAGAGATCTCATTTGCCCTTAAGACTATGTGAGACTCCTCACTAAAGTTTAGAGATGTGGCGGGGAACCTGATGTAGAGGGGGGAGGGAGGTCGTGGTCAGAGTAATTGACTTCGGGTTTTTTTTTCGGGCTGTGATTTCTGCTGCCCTCAGCATGAGGGAGTCTTGAGAGTAAGAGTTTAGAGAACAGCAAGTCAACCTCCTTATAAGAAAACTGAGGCCCAGAGAGAAGTTATTGGCACCCAAGGACGTCTCTAGTTGTCAACCTCCCAAGGGACCTGAACCAGCTACCCACCTCCATCTATGTCTTCCTGCAGGGACTTCTTCAGTTAGACCTACCTCCTTCCTTCCTCTCCCCTCCCTCCCCCCAGCTTCTTCTTCATCACTCCCCCACCTCTTCCTCCACCATCACTTCACTGTCACCTCCTTCACCATCACCACCCCTCCTCCACTATCGTCTCCTCCTCCTCTGCCTCTCCCTGCTCCAACACCTGCTTTTCTTCTGCCACCTCTCCCTCCACCACCATTTCCTCTTTCCTAAATGGGCTTCTAGATTCACAGAGCTGACCTCCACCTACTTGTGCCTGCTGTCTAGCTTGAATCTAGCTTCCTTGGACCCTCACAGGACACTTCACCACCTACCGTGAGAGTGGACCTGCAACAAGGAGTAGGAAGAAGAGGAGGAAGAGTAAACATTTATTAAGCACTATCTAAGTGCCAGGTGCTTTGCTAGAGCACTTAACAAATTTCTCATTTGAATCTTCACAACAGCCCTTAGAAGTAGGTGCTCTTATCACTCCCATTTTATAGTTGAGGGAACTGAGGCAAACAGAGACATTAAGTGACTTACCTACAGTCACACAGCTTGAAAGTGTCTAAGATGGGATTTGAACTCAGGTCTTCCTGACTCCAGGCCCAGAGCTCCACCCATGCCTAGGAGGATATTGAACCTACTTCCCCAAATGGACCTTTCTCCAATCACTAGTATTCTTCTTGGACTCATTTGTCATAGGTTAGAATACTACCATCCCCTCATACTCTCCCTACTGCAGTGATTCTGAACCCCTGGTTACTAATGTACAAACTCTGTTCCCCATCCCCAGCTGCCCATTGGTTAAGAAATATCTCTAAGGCCAGTAAAACCATGTTATTTTCATATATATGTATATGTATGGATACACAAAATACATATCTATATTTAGATATGTAAACATATGTAAACATACATATATACACAAACACATATATACATATGTATGAATGTATATATGTACACACACACACACACACACACACACACACACACACACACGCTACAAGCCTTATTCTTATCCAGTTCAGCCCCACCCCTACAGTATCCTGCTCCAGATGTATTAGTTCTATTCTACTGTACTCTCTGGAATGCTTGCTCCATAATTAACAAATTTCCTTTTGTGTTAAACCTTTTCCTTTCTCACTCCTTCTATCTTCTGGCACTGACATTCCTCATAATGACATTCCTTCCATCGCTCATCTTCCTGGTACTGGCTACATTGTCTGTCATACCTCCAACTGGGTAGTGCAATAAATAAAGTGCTGGGCCTGGGGTAAGGAAGACCTGAGTTTAAATTCTATCTTAGACACTATGTTAGTCGTGTAACCTTGAGTTAGTCACTTAACCTCCATCTGCCTCAGTTTCCTCATCTATAAAATGAGGATAATAATAGCACCTACCTCCAAGGATTGTTTCGATGAACAAATGAGATAATATTTGTAAAGCACTTAGCACAGTGCCTGGTACTTAGTAGGTATTTAATAAATGCTTGTAGGGCAGCTAGGTAGCAAATGGATAGAGCTCTGCCTTGGAGTCAGGAGGACCTGAATTCAAATCCGGCCTCAGACACTTGACACTTACTAGCTGTGTGACCCTGGGCAAGTCACTTAACCCCAATTGCTTCACCAAAAAGGAAAAAAATTTAAAAATGTTTGTTTCCTTCCTTCTTTCCCAACTTACTATTTGGAATATTCTTTGCTCCCCAGTGCCACTTTTGGATTTTTCTTCTACCACTATCACTCAGAAATCTCTCCTCCTTTGAGGTTTGAGATGTCTTGGAGCATGTACATACAATGTATATCCACATGTATGTGTATGTGTGTATAT